AAGGATGTTCGACACCCACATTGCCCAGATTCGTGAGGAACAGTAAAAACAGTTAAAATTAGGATACAATGAAGTATGAGTTCAATGTATTCTCAAAGGCTTTCATGGCCAGGATCCGATGGTTGTTGTAGATTTTTGGGGCTGTTTGGCTGTGTTCTGAAGGTTTTTCTTCCTAACGTTTCGCCAGTCTCTATGGCCGGCATCTTCCGAGGACAGGAATTAGAACTCTGTCTGTGTTCTGGTGTAGTGTGTGGGATAGCTGAGTATTTGTAGCTGTGGGATCAGCTTTGTGTCCCTTTCAGGAAACTGAGTGATGATGGTGATCAAGGTGGTTTTTGTTATTGGTGTATTGTTGTGATAAGGGACATCGAAGTATAAGTTTGTAGCACAATTTTGCCCCTGAGGTTGGCTTCCCCAACGGGGTGCCTTCCAGATGTGTTGGACCTGCAACTCTCATCACTCCTAGCCAGCATGTTGGGAGTTGTAGTCCTCCCGATGTAGAAGACATCAGATGATGGGAACAAGGAAATGTGTAATTTAAGGTGCTGCAACCGTTCTGTCTTCTTTAATTTTTATTTTGTTTTTCACCTGGCACGTATGTATCTGTTTCTGTTGATTTTTTTCCCATATATCCGGAAAAGGGGGGGAAGGAGAGGAGAGGAAAAGCTCTACCCTCCTTCCAAGCAATATTATTTAAAATCCTGTTTGGCTTGTAAATTTTTTACTACTAGTAGATGTTACCCCTTTGAGTGTGTCTTTTTACGGTCACAAGATTAGAAACAGCAAAAGTGAAATCCACCTGATTTTTCTGGTATCCATTTCCCAACATCTATGTCACCAAGAGGTATCACCCTTCTCTTTCTTTGACAAGATAAGCTGGGCTTCTGCCTGCAGATTGTGACTAATTCTGCTATTGTTCAATTCTCTATAACATAATGACATTTGCAATTAGGCAAAAATATTATGCACACTTTCTCTCTTGCTCCCTTTCATACACACCTACCTGGCCCAACGATGAACAGCACTTATTATAAATGCAATATATTCTGTAATCAGTGTTTAATGCGCCTCTTGCCTGGCAGTTTTAAAAACCAAAGAGCTTTTAAGCAGATAACTAACTGATATAAACTATGTAATTTTTTTAACATGAAACATGCAGGGTAGCTTTTAATAAAATATTAAGTGTTTTAATAGGGTAACAAGAATACAAAAATGATATGATAAATACATTAAAAATGCTAGTAATAATTTAGCTTAAAACAATGAGGATAAGCACATCCACTGGGAAAATGAAGGCTCTTAACTGTCAAAGAACTGCTTAAATATGAAGGCTTTTACCTGCCACTGGAAAGAGAGCAGGTAGGGGCGATCCTACTCGTCTTGGCCATGACAACCGAGGGGGTCCTGGCCTGAGGCCCCATAAATAAGCTCTTGAAGGTGGTGAACGTGGGACAAGGGTCTTTCCTCTAGATCTTAAAGACCAACCAGATATATGGGTTTACCGAGTAAGGTACAGAGAATCCGTCTTTAGAAGAGGGAAGCATTTGATTGCTGGAAGTGTCTGATTGTCACAGCAGGAGCATTTCACACCACCTGTTCTTTGCAAATTAGCCTGCTCTGCTTCGTGTTTGGTCTTCAAGACCGAAATATGGCCTTCATTGGCAATTCTAGTTTCACAGGTAACAAAAATCTGTTTAAGTCAGATCTCTGGAACAAAATATGAAATCAGTTGGAACGAGGTGTTATATCAGAAATTTAGAGTTTTGCATGGAGTTAAAGGAGTTGAAGGTTCAGGGTTAATAGGCTTTCTTGCAAAGGACCCTGGGAACAGAACAGGATTCTGGGAGCTATAGTGGCAAACCCCAAATCTACACCTACCTAATAGATCTTTTTTTAAAAAAGGACATGGCAGTCTTCCAAAATGGCTGTGTCTTATACTTTGGATGTAGGCCAGGGCTTAAATATTGGTGGAAAGCCAAGAGGAACAGGCAGTATATGGCTCTCAGTTTTGCTAATGAAGCCCTCCCTTTCGTTTTAGTTCATGACAAAAAACCCCAAAATGCGCCTTGGCAGTAGCGCCTTGGGCGGGGAGAAAGCTATCCTCCTGCACCCCTATTTTAAGGAACTGGATTGGGATTTGCTGAACCAGCGCCAGATCGAGCCACCTTTCCGACCTCGAATCGTAAGTCCTTAGAAATCTGTTGTATGTGTGTGTCTGTGTTTACACGAGGGAGATGGACCCATAGCAGAGCAGATGCTTTCTCTGGAAAAGGTTGTGGGTTCCGTATTCAGCATCTCCAGGCAGGACTCAGTATGTGAAAGACATACTGAGAGATTCCTGTGGTTCATTTTCCATGGCAAACAGGGGGGAAAAACACAGAGGAAGCAGGAAAAAAAACAAACGTAACAATGGCATGGTCTAGAATAGATCAGTGCTGGCAAACCTTTTTGAGCCCGAGTGCCCTAATTGCAACACAAAATCGACGTATTTATTTCAAAGGGCCAACACTGCAAGTAGACCTGAATCCTGAGGTTTTAGTTTAGGAAAAAACAACAACTGCCCTTGCACTGCAAGGGTTAAGTGCTTGTGTTTTTCTTCTAGGGGCAGTATTAACAGAGAAATACTTACCGGTCCTCCAATCCCCCATGTGGCTAGACCAGTAATGGCCGCCATTGCACCCCTACTGCTGGACCACTGCACCAGCAGAGGGAAGTGCCGAAATCCGGGATTGGAGGATGGGTAAGTTTCATAAAGACACCCATCGGCACCCAGCTTTTTCAGTGCCAGCATTCACATTGGCCCTTACGCTGATTTGATATGTGCCCATGGCCTTATTCCCTTCATACTGCCAACCTGGCAATTCCCAGCTCTCCTTAGTTCTTTTAAAAAATTTTGTTATTGTCATCATCATCATCATCGAACTGCAGAGCTGGCAGGCACCCTATGTGTCCAGCCTCTGTCAAGAAGGCACAATGGGGAATCAAATGGCCAACCTCTGATGCTTAAACTACTGAACTATCCAACGTTTGTCTGTACAGAGGTGATCTCGGACTAATGGATCAATACAGCGATAAGGCGATCTAGCGCTCAATGTGGCAGTTTGTTTTCTTAAGAATTAAAAAATGCTTTGGGGCGACTAGGGAAAACTATTGCCACCCAGAGTAGACCTTTGGTCTAGATGGGTGGGGTAGAAGTCTAATAAATAAATAAATATGGTGGGGTGGATGTTCCTGCTTTCCCAAACATCCCACCCCAGCTGAATATGTCACCCTAACAACTCCCAGAGAAACACACCTCATCCTTTTGTAGAACGAAACAAACGATCAACAGGGAAAGCACTTGCTTGAATCGTTTCAACTTTAAAAATACACTATAGAAGCCCCCAGTGGTGGTGGGGAAGAACTGAAGCCAAAAGGGCTGGGCTGATTCGCATTCGCATTTCCATCATGTGATCATTGAAAAATACTCCCCATGCTACTAGCAGAGTAAATCCCCAAGTATTAATAGAGTCTCGGTCTGATGCAGGGTGGCTCTGAATAACCCCCCATTTCTAGAACATTCCACCTCAATCCTAGAAAATGCTTTTGGGCTAGAGTTGTGAAAATAAAGGGACTTTTATCCTGTGTCGTAGCTGGAAAACAAAGAAAGCAGAGACGCCTAGCATTTATGTTATGTTTGCATTTGACAGAAATCCAAAGAAGATGTGAGCAACTTCGATCCCGAATTTTTAAAAGAAGAGCCTGTTTTAACCCCCATTGAAGATGGAATTCTTTCCATGATTAATCAAGAAGAATTTAGAAACTTTTCTTACACGGACCCGGAATTAGAATCATAGTCCCCTGAGGAGCGGCAAACGGCTTTCTCCATCTGGTGAGGAATTGTTACAATTTAGGATTGCCTGCAGTTTTGTTCAGATGGAGCATTCCAGAGGCATTCCAACATATATTACAGATCGTGGACAGAAGGAGCACAATTAATTTAATTCTGGAGCCGAGGGACCATCTCTTGGAAATTCTGAAGCACTGAGTGCAAATATTTATAGCAGGACAACAGATCTGCTTCGGGAAATGATGTGGAAAGAGGAATTGGTTTGAGCGGGTTGGTCAGGATGACCGCGGGAGGTTCGCCGTGAGTCTGGAGGTTTTCCGGAAGGAGGATGAAATCACCACTGAGCCAAATGAAACCTTATCCAAGGACAGACTTCTTCCAAAATATCTCTTGAAAGCAGCTTTTCAAAAGCAGGGCAGGGAAAAAATAAAAAGAGCAGTATTGACAGACTGGTTTGAACTGTGACACGGGAACATCACCTCGTGTGGTGCTAACTTGCTTAGAAGACACCAATATGATTTCCCCCCCTGCACTGAGCAAATGGGTTTATTTGAAACAGTTTGGGCTTCCATTTAAAAAATATGTTGCTTTGTGCAAAAAAATAAAAATGGGGGGAGGAATAATGTGGCTTCCTCGAAAACCACCAAGGCCAATCCTGCCTCTCTCCCCCCGCCCCAGTTTCTAAGTGTTTTACATCCTACTCAGGATTTATGACAACATACGTGAGATTACATGAGCTGGACCATAAAGAAGACTGACTGCCAAAGAATCGATGCTTTTGAATTGTGGTGCTGGAAGAGACTCTTGAGAGTCCCCTGGACTGCAAGGAAGACAAACCTATCCATTTTGAAGGAAATCAACCCTGAGTGCTCACTGGAAGGACAGATTCTGAAGATGAGGCTCCAATACTTTGGCCATCTCAAGAGAAGAGAACTCTCCCGGGAAAACACCCTGATTTTGGGAAAGTGTGAAGGCAAGAGGAGAAGGGGACGACAGAGGACGAGAAGGTTGGACAGTGTCATTGAAGTGACCAACATGATTTTGACCCAACTCCGGGAGGCAGTGGAAGACAGGAGGGCCTGGCGTGCTCTGGTCCGTCATGAAGAGTCAGACACGACTTAATGACTAAACAACAACATGAGATTACATTCCCTGATTCCATCAAATTTATTTTCTCAAAAGTGGGACAAGATAAGCATCATGATCTGCTGTTATATTGTGTGTGTATGTGCATATGTGCGTGTGTGTGAGAGAGAGAGGAGGGGTAGAGTTAGCTTCCTTGTTAAATTAGAGCAAATGTCTTCCAAAATGAAAAGGCACAAGACTGGGAACTTCTGAATTAGAAGCCGAGCTGACTGGAAAAATGTTATTCCCACCCTTTAGATCTATTTGGCCATATAACAAGTCAACCCATCCGCTACCTCTGTGTGTTATGAAGAGGGATATGTTTATCGGCTATATTTTGGGACACATCAAGATAAAAGGAGAGCTTTGTTTTGTTTACAGGTTTTTATTTGTTTTTTGTTTATTTGTTTTTGTTTTGTTTTTATCCTCAAGCCTTCAGTGGTTTAAGGTGGAATGGTGTAGAATAGTTTCTTCCTTTTACCTCCGCGTAGTTGTTCCTTTTAAAAATAGCATATGATATTTTGCAGAGGATCTAACTGATTATTAAAGAACATAGAGATTGCAAGAGCCTTCATTTATTTCACCGTTGGCCAGAAGGGCTGGATGGTAGGATGATTAATAGGGAAACCTGCCCTCTAAGGCTGAATTAAGCAAATCTGTGTCAAGGCGGGCACATAGTGGCTCATATCCTGTTGCTTAAATAAGGAAATGAAGAGAAATTATATCAATTATATCTGCTCCAGCAGGCTGCCCATTGTGTGACCATCTTGCAACCAGTGTGAAAATGCATACATGATAGGAAACCTGGTGGATCTTCTTACTTGATACAACAGAGGAGGGGATTTCTCTGCCCTCCCTTTTAATGTCACAACCCACCTATGCCGGTCACAGGATTGTCACCTCTGATAACATCGCTCACAGTTCCATAACCGTCTACATGGCAACAACAGCTGTAGCTTCATCAGCTCTCCTGCTCTTTCTGATTCAAATCTCTTACTCATAGCCCACTCTTTCTTAGATTTACCCCTTTGGGCTGAACTAATACTTCATAGGGATTACATGAGCTCACTTGTTTCTGAATGTTTTTAACCTCCGGGGAAGGAACTGCTGGAGGTAAAAAAAACAATGTGCAGATTTGTGTGTTGGATAGAATTCTGGGAGTTGCAGTCCAAAAACACAAACTAGTACACTTCTGGTTTGTAAATACATTTGAGGTGGTTCCTGTTCAGCAGAATATTTTTTGCACTATCTAAATTTCAGTGCCCAGGGTCAAAGCTGCAGTTGCTCCACTCTGATTAAGGCTCTGGATAGCCCAAGGTTATCCAATGAATTCCATGGGTCAAAGGGAATAGAATCTGGGTCTCTGAACTCTCAGTCTGCGACTGATCCTTACACCACATTAGACTTACCACAAATTCAGGAGAGGTGATGCCTTTATTAAACCACTTTTTTTTAAAAAAAAATCAAACAATTTGCAAGCTTTTGTGGTCCACTTCTTCAGGCTAAGCACCAATATTGCATTAGAAAAACCAGTATAGATGAGATTCCCAAAAGTTAATGAAAGAAATCTCCCAAGTGTTTTAACCAGCTTTAAACTCACCTTATGAGGATGCCTGGAAAACTTTTGCCATCAGTTTTTGAGACAATCATTTATAATTTTTTGCATTGCTCACAATTTACTACTGGATACCTGAAGAAGGGATTTTTAATCCATGGAAGTTTGCATTAATTGTTTTACATCTATCTATCAGTTCTTTATATATATCAATTAATGCAATATATAAAACAATTAATGCAAGCTTATATATATATGTAGAAGAATGAGACACTTTTATTAGACCACTAAATGTATGTAGACCATAAACCATATATACAGTGGTACCTCGACTTACAACCATAATCCATTCCAGACCGTTGGTCCAGATAGGCGGGATAAAAATCAAATAAATAAATAAATAATAATAAATAAGAAGATGAACGTAACTTGAAATGGTTGTAAGTCGAAGCACCATTTACCATAGGAATGCATGGGAATGCGATTAATCCGTTCCAGCCAAAAAAAACTTACCTCCTCTAAATAAAATAAAAATAAAACACTGCAAGCCTCATAGGAACACACTGGGGCTGCACTTCCCCCCCAAAAAACCCAAAATGAACAGAGCAAACCCCAAAGGCGCTGGGGCTGCAAAAAACAAAACAAAACCCAAAAATAAACATCGGAGTAAGCCCCATGCTGGGACTGCAAAAAACAACAACAACAAAACAACACAGCACAGAAACGTAACTCCCCCAGCCCAAACCCATGCTGCAAAACCCACGCAGAACAGTTTTAAAAAGCAGAAAGCGGCACCTTACCAGGCAGTCCCAAGCCTCCTCTGATCGCACTTACTCCCTGGCGAGGTCGGGGTGAGCGGCTGGAGCACCCCGGCCAGGTTCACCCTCCTGGCGCCAGACTGCCAGAGCCCCACGCCCCACCCCATAGGAGCCCCTCGGGCATCAGAGGCACTCGCCCAGCCGCGTGGCTTCCTTCAGCACCGCCTCCATGCCAGCCAGCAGCCGGGAGGCTGAGCCTGGCGTGGGCACTCCATCCGCTCGCCCCAGCCTTGCCCTCCGGGCAACTGTCCCGGATGCCCCCAGCCTGCAGGGATCTGGACTGGCTAGGAGACTCCTGCTCTAACCGTTGGGCAAGAGCTACTGTACAAAGAAGCAGCCTCTTTGCCACCAACGGTTAGCGATTTGACTTCCTCGCCCTTTCCCCCTCCCTTTTTTTGATCGTAAGTGGAAGCTCCGGCCACAGGTCGAAGCAAAATTTTGCGGCCGGAGATGGTCGTACGTCGAAATGGTCATAAGTCGGGACATACATAAGTCGAGGCACCACTGTGTATAGTAGTCTACATACATTTAGTGGTCTAATAAAAGTGTCTCATTCTTCTACATTTATTTCTTTTTAAAAAATAATAAGAATAACTTGACAACAACCTAAACTTTAAACAATACATAATAACAAAAACATGAAACATTCATAACTCAAGTGCAGACTACCATTGGGGTGTGTGTGTGTGGTTTGCAACTTCACCCCTAGTATACACTGGGCTGGAATTTTCCACCCAGCTCTTCAAAGACCGACCAAAGCTATTTGCATATATGCAAAATGCCTTGTGGCCCCATTAAAAAAATGAGCAGATTTTATGTGGCACATGCGTTTCATAGATTGCAACCTACAAAAAACCCTTTTGTGTGTTGGTTGCAAGAGAGAGACGTAGCCTCTCCAGCGAAAGAATGCCCAGCACTTCAGAGCATGAACCACTCCTTTATTCCATCTTTAGGGAGGCCCAGAAAAAGTCATCCATCAACTTCCCTTGCCGGTTTTCAACAACCTGGGAGCAAAAGACACACACAGAACACAGCAACAACAAGGGAGCTCAGATTACCATAAATATTGCGACATAATTTCTCGCCAAAGGGATCACGGCCTGTTGCTCACACCCTGCGGTTGGCGGGGAAGGAGG